AGCATTATACTGACTGCTTTCATAAGCATAGAGCTCGTGGATGCATTGGATAAACCTCGTTTTGGACGTCGCACCGGAGGGCGACGCAGTGATTATCCCAGTGCCCGCACATTGTGCTGAATTTGACCGTAATGAGCCTTACAGTTCTAATTAGTATCATGCACGCTTCAACTGAGAACAATAGATTAATGATTGTACGCATTTGCATCCCTCCATAAAAGAATGAATCCCATGGTCTTGTTCCGTACAGTACCAAGAGTAGTGATGCAACTACTCGAGCAGACGCTCATCAAACACTAGGCGGTCTCTTTGGTTGAGTTCACAAGAAAGCTAAGCACGCGGCCAATATTATCAATTCAGACAAACGTTTATCAAACCTAGTGGGGCACTCAATATTTCGCAGGACTTTTGAAAACACTCATTAACAGATCACATAATCTCAAAAAAACAGCATTTAGAGAAAAACATTTAACCACTCTCCCCTATAGAACGACCAAACATAAACAAAAAGCCCAGCGAGCTTATTGACGCAACCACACAGGAAAAGATGGGTTGGGTTTCACTATCTAAAATTGGAAAACTGTGATGGAAGTAGTCATGAGATTAGGTCCGAGTCAGCACAAGCATCACAAAAACCAAACATCAAAGCGATTCTTCAAGAAAAGAATGATCAAAATAGCAGACATAAAATGATCTAATTAAATATCAGGTGCCAGAATCACCAGATCGTGAATACCGTTTGCCAGAAAACGCGACCAGACCCTCGAACAGGTAGTACAAGGTAGTACGGAAAATGCATCAAAACGGAAAATCACTATTATACCAACTTCTGGAATCCTGTCGCGTATTCCGAGGCCGGACGACGACATTGGTGGTTGAAGCCGCCGCCGTCCAAAGCGCTTATGCATATTCAGTTTGTCCGTGGAAGCAGGCAAAGGGGGCGGGAAAGCATGTCGCTCTAAGCTTGGAGAGGATCCCTGTAGAAAACAAAGAATGATTACGCACTATATTACTCTAATTCAATTCAGAAGTGGCTAGACGTGATTCAGTTCACTTCCAACTATCATGCACAATCACCCCCGAAACCCGGAACGAACTTTGGATAACAATGTGTGTGTAAATCACTTTAATGAACATCTGTCCAAATGCAAAACCGGAAATATGATAAAAAGGAATTTGTACATGTGGGACGACAGCGTTATGTTGTATGCAGGCTAACGACGCCTATGTTCACGAGAAACATGACGACGATCAGTACTCTCTCGTTGTCGGTGACGGGAGTGATTCTCTGAGTTACGGGTTGCACCATTAGGTAAATAAGCTTTAGAAGACAAACGGCTTTTACCAACAGTATCACTGTCTTGTATTCGATCTAGCCGATAAGCGGCCGGGGGAGACTTCCGGGTGTGGTTGCTGAACTTTCTTTCGGTGTTTGCTCGAGCAAGCGGGCTTTCAGTTGAAGATACAGAACTGTGAGAATCGACAGATGACGGCGACTGTCGACGTATGTTTGGTGGGACTGTAAGACCAGCCCGTTGGCGCTTGGGAGGGCTGGGAGAGCTGGACGGAGTGCCGGAACCTGATGTGCTTTGATCATGCGTATGGGGAACTTTATGGCGGAGGTTTCGGTAATGACGGTTACTCGACGTGTACACGCTCGCTCGACCACCACTGGAAGAGGAACTCGAGCTGACAGACCTCGAAGAGCGCCGACGGGAGGATCTGTGTTTGGTTCTTCGCTTTCTTTCCCGATGGGCGTCGCGCTCATCCAGTTGATCAGGTGATACATGTGGATATGCAGCTGGTCTGCCTGACGACGAGGACAACGTGGGCCGTCTGTCAAGGAAACAAGAAAAAGAAACTTAGTTCTGGTTCAACAATAACCGAACATTACGTATTCAATTATACTACCTCCCGCAAGCTGAATCATTAGCCAAGAGCGATCAGAATGCGCTACATCGGTCAGTGTCAGTTCCTTTCTACTGTGTCACCTAATTTGATCACCACTCCATAGATCATTTCAAGTCTCAACAAAATGACTCCATTCTCGTTGTCAGTTATCTTCCGATCTCCTGTTTAATTACTGAATACAAGATGACAGTGAATTTTAAGGTTCCAGCTACTCAGAGGCTGCCCGAGAGATGACGGATCTGGGTTGGGTGCGATGTGGTGGCAGAATGAGACGTGATGTGATTTCTAATGCCGCCAACATTGCAGTTTTCAATCGTTCAAAAAATCAAACAGAATGCAGACGTTTTTTAGCTTGTATCTCAGATGTACCACTAATTCAACAGATTTCAATGGAATACCAAGTCCAGGCAGCCTATCGGATTCCAGCTTGAGACCACAATCAGTCGACGTCAGAAGAGCAGACCTTCTAACAAATGAACAAAGATGGGCTCAAGCTGATCTCATTACTACTCGACACGACAGGCATCAGAAGTGGTAGCGAGTTGACAATTTTTATAACCAGGGAAACTGATAAAGATATGCAGTGCACTTACTTGAATAACAGAATTTTGTCATCCATCACCCACAATGTTCCCCTCATCCCTTAGTTTTATTTCGCATCCAATACCACGAAAATAGGGTAAACTATTCCTTAACATTTATCCTTCAACTCAACCTTCACCAAAACTACCAATCGAGTGTTTTAGGCGAAGTACAGCCCAAACGTTTTCTGTGCAATACTCTGTGGAATTTACCCTCAATGTGTAAAGAAAAAACCGTTATCATGATGAACATTAGTATGAAACCAAACCTAACCGTGAGGACTCATTATCCAACCGCAAAATTCGGTAATCCAAGCTGAAGAATCTCGTACGGCTTCAATAGGAAGCAAGTGCCATCACCTTTGACTTCAACATTGCCATAGTGGCTTTGAATCCTTTAAGGTACATGCGTGGAGCAGTCACAAAGCAACTGACTTCGACACAGGTATTCCAGGAAGGCCGGTTAAATGAAACCATGATCAAAATTTTGTGGATGTTGCCTGGCGCGCTCAGCCGTTCCCATGTTGAGATTAAAAACCCAGTTGTAAGAAAACAGGACTGCACACTACTCCAAAAAAACTAACCCCTCGCCATTGAGTTTTGATTGTCATGTTAACGAATCAACGGGGACGATCAGACAGTCGATAAGAGGACTTCAAAAAACATGGACCAAATTGTTCTTCAACTGCGGTCACTCTTCGAGTCAACCGTTCAGCGCGTCCCTACACATATCTAAGCAATGTTGAGCCGCTGCTGTCGCCAAAACGACAGCAAAACTTTCGGATGCGAGTAGACTTCTATACATGAATCTAAATTACATAAAAAACCAACGACACGCGGCTATGATGGTTAGAAAGCGTCCATTTCATCAGGTAAGACAATTAGTGGCAACGATATTTCTTCCTAATCAATCCCCTGAACACTGCCTCCTGAAAGCGAACGCATCCGCTTGACAAATTGTGGTCGGCGCCGACAATGTTCGACGTTGGACGGGAGCATTATATAGCCGAAGATATACGGATCACACTTGTTGCGCTATTATTAAATCGACCTATATTAAACAATTTTCCCACGTCAAACAGTGCTGAATAAATCAGTGTATTCAAGCTGTTAAGAAATCCCCGTCATTCGTTTTCGGGAGGACTACTGCCAAAATGCTCAGGATAATGAGAATGGATTTTCCAGGACTAACAAGTGGAGTCTTCGACTGGCCAAAGCCTGGTCGGCAAGGTAGCAGGGCAGCGTGGGAAAGCGCAATTCATCGGGGACTGCTCATTCATTTGAATCATACATCTCCTGGACAGGACGAACCCCGAAGTTACCCATTGCACTCGGATGCTCGATCAAGCCGGTGACCATCGCCACAACCAAGAAGGCGTGGGGATGAGTGACAATTCTACTTCCTGGTAGCCATTAGACAAGTTCGGGTCAAAAACCGCCATTTTTTGTATTCAAGTCCTGTTGTTGAACACCTCATTAAGTGTGCGACATAAATGGGCAATCGCATATGGTTCCGTGAATAGATGAAGTTCGAGAGAATTTCCGCCTTTAATTGAACTTGCTGCACTTGTACGGAATCAGCCCATTCAATGACTAATTGCCACACCTGACCATGGTGTGCGATTCACGTATTTAATCTTGGCGCAACTCGATACCTTACAGTACCGATCGAGGCTAAATACTGTCCGGTTCTCGGATAGAGTTCACTCCATCATCGGTCGTGGGGAAAGCCAGGGTTCAACCCAACTTACTTAAAAAGCGCCTGCTCGGACGTAAAGACAAGTCCATTCCGACCGTATCCCGTCCAGTAACAGTAACGTGACGGCCCAAACACCAACCACGATGTGGGTCGCAGCAAAATGTAATTGGAGTTCACTCTATGTTGAAAAGGTATTTACTTTATACTCACGACCAAAACGAACCTTGCATCTCGCCATCCGCTGATCTAGAGCGAAGAACCATTAACGACGATTTTCCCCATAAGCACAGCAAACAAGCTGAATGTATATTGAATAAATCCACGGCAGTTGACCGATATTCCAACAAATCGATGAAGTTCATTTGCAGATTAGGTGACGAAAGTTGCGAATGTCTGTATTTTCGGTCACATTTGGAGCCATCCCCTATGGCCTACTTAACCAATTCAGGTAAACATCAATTTACCTTAGTTCGAATCTGCGAAATCGGACAGTGACGGGAGTTATAGGGTCCCTCGACGCTATTCCCTGACTGTCCTTTAGGCATCAGGTGGAGTGGCAAGGCCCAATGCACATTGTTTCTGAAATTGCGTAGCCTTAGTTACGACCAACTTATACGGGGCGCCACAATGGACAGGCGGGCTGCGTGAGACGACGATGGGCAACTGGGGCAGCACCGTGGAACCCGGTAATAAACCCGCCAAGTGCTGTAAGGCAGAACCGAAGATGATGTTCAAAACGGGACTATGCACCGCTGCGTCCGATAATCCCCGGAATTAGTGTTACGGAGGTGTCTGACAGTGCCAACAGTTAGACGACTTGCGCACAAGCTAATGCTGAGGACAGAGATGGAATCAGCAATCAGAAAGCGGATGAAAGAAATGTTGATGAATACTTTTTTCTTGCTCTTTTCAAGCACTTGCCCCCAACCTGGCCCAACCACGTGATATAGTGATTGCTGAGCAATCAGCGTCTACAACCGCTTCATAGCGGTTTCGCATTTGGAACTTTTCTATGTGCATACCGCCCGACTTAGCTTTTGTGACCCGAGACAGATCATGGGTAGACGTAGCGACGGTGTTGGGCTCTAGTCCACCGACGGTAATTTGCTGGCATTTGCTGCCAATTCTAGCAAACATTTCGTCAATGAGCCCTGCGATAGCGTGGGTAGGATTTGGACATCTTGTGATATTCTCGCAAACCACAGCTGCTCACGATGAGCTCTGCATCGTAAGCTAATAACAAAGGTTGATTTCCTAAGGACCATAGTTACTGAAGCCTACCTGAACAGTACAATTAACGACCGGTTGGGACGAAGACGTTGCTAATCACGAATATGCAAGGTTCACCCGTGCCTAGTCATTGTGAAGACTAGATGTAACAAATAGCTACGTTTGGCTAATAAAAACGGTTGACCGTACTGTTGAAGTACGTTTCAATAATCCAAAATTCCGTGATTTGAAAACGTCGTATTGTGCGAAGTTGGACCACTTGAGCGATTTTGTATCGTATCACAGTCATATATGTACAAATATAGATGTCATCGTTTGAGCGACTTCCATGAAACTTCGAGGGGATTACGTGAACAGCTGTCGCAGTGAAATATTCGGCTTAGGAGCCACCATATCAGCCCTAATTTTTGCACCTGCACATCAGTGCATAGTGGTTGTTGGTTTGGGCTACCCGACTGGAAGGCTCAGATGAAATAAAATAGAGAAAGATGACCCGTGCTAACTTCCAGTAGCACACTAAAGTTCGACAATGAAATCCATTGCATCCCTGGTAGTAAAACGCCCATATGAGCAGTTACCGAAAACGCATGGTACATTCCTGAGACAAATGACTAGGACCACTTTCAAAGCTAGCATGAAATGGAGATTAGATTTGAACACGGGAGATTCAGTGTTCGTTATAAGGAAATAACTTGGAAAAAGTTTTGAAAAACAAAGTGGGTTGTGCATTGCACAACTTACTTGGAGTTGTGTCGTGAAT